CACTTTCCAACTAATCTTCAATAATTTTCCACAAGTTAACAAATTCAGGCCAATTTTCTTTTGATTCCTTCCTCCAGTTTCATTAGTTATTAACACAACACCTTTGTAATCCCATCAAATTGATTGCATCATCTATTTGATGCAAATCGGCTTTTGCTTTTCAGCGATTTGTTTAAAAAAAGTGACAATTTTAGTGGTTTTCAGATGAATAATAGTTTTCTATTAATTATGCAACATTTATATATATTTATTGGAATGGATTTTTTTTTTTGAGAAATATGCGGAATGCGGCATAAAGCCCATAACAGTCTACATTTTTATATCACACCCTATGTTATTGTAGTACATATATCTAAATAAAAATTTTAAAATTGAAAAAAATCAAATCTTAATCTCATCACTGAATTTTATTGCATTCATTTCCAATTTTACTCAATATTCAATTTAATTTAACTTTTCCTTGTTTTCTTACATGTTTTCACGTAACTTTATTAAAAATCTGTAAATAATATTGTAAAATTTATTATTGCTTTTCATAAATTCACATAAATTAAATAAATGCTGTATTTTAATAAGTTGTTACGTATGTTATTGTAGTACATATATCTAAATAAAAATTTTAAAATTGAAAAAAATCAAATCTTAATCTCATCACTGAATTTTATTGCATTCATTTCCAATTTTACTCAATATTCAATTTAATTTAACTTTTCCTTGTTTTCTTACATGTTTTCACGTAACTTTATTAAAAATCTGTAAATAATATTGTAAAATTTATTATTGCTTTTCATAAATTCACATAAATTAAATAAATGCTGTATTTTAATAAGCAAATTTATGAATAATAACTTGAAACTAATGGGATTTTATGATTAATCGCTTTATATTGTGTTTTGTAAAGTTTGAGTATGAATAATAAGGGCAGAAAATAAAATGCTGCTGCAGTTAAATAAAGGACGATTTAAAAGTATAAAGGATTCAACTTTTTTTTACATTCGTTGCAAAAGGACATCTGTTTTTTTTTATTTGCGTCGTTCTTTGTTAATTAATTCTGAAAGATAAAAGAAGAATTGTTGGTTTTGTTGCAGTGGCTGTGGTCGTGGCGTTTTTCATCTGCTGGGCTCCGTTTCACGCCCAGAGGCTGGTGGCGACCCATGTTTCCTTTCCATCGAATGCGGACGACAGGATAAAGTATCTGAAGATATACGAAGTGGTGACCTACATCAGCGGCGTCCTCTACTTCGTATCCACCACCATAAATCCGTTGCTCTACAACATCATGTCGAACAAGTTCAGGGATGCATTCAAGGTACGTCCGAGATGCCGGATGTCGGCTAGCATCGGGATTAAAGCATAGTAGAGTATCTTTTGCAGGAGACGTTCGCGCGATGCTGTCGACTCAACACCGGAAAGCAGAGGACTTACTCGGTCCTCTCTAGGTCTAGGTCCTCAGCGCCACGGGCCACAGAATCAAACGAGTCTAGAGATGAGGCTAGTAGCGTTCAAACACACACCTCTATTACCCACAAAAGCTCCATAGATTCCGGCCTAGGCATGCACATCACTACGAAAAGGTGAGACACAAATTGCAAATCCTATGATGTTTACCTGCAAAACTATACCAGAAAAAGAATTATAATTGACAGAAATTAACAAATTTTAACATGAAAAACATTATAGAATTTAAATTTTTGATAAAAAAAAAAACAAACTTACAATTATAATTCGAAATTAAAACTAATTGAAAACATATATGAATAAAAGAATTTTTTTTGTTGACAATTACAAAATTATGTAGAAACTACATTAATCAAACACGTAAAGTCAATTACCTGCAGATAATAACAATAATAATAATCTGATTTAAGTAAACATTACATAATTGAAGGAAAACTGGAAATAGATTAAACAAATATTTCTTTCAAGTTCTTATAATTGGGTAATTGAAGATTACATGCAGGAAATTTTTAATTCAACTAATTATTTAATTCAGCTGATTACTAAATTATATAAGAACTGATCAATTCAATTCAGTCTAAAAATAAAACAACAATTAATGTTTTGTAATTGTATTGGGAATAGATTTATTATGGAAAACAATAATTGAAATAGCAGAAATTTATGTTTTTTGTTGTTGTTGTCTTCTAATTAATGTTTGTAAAATACGTAAACACATTTGAAAATAATTAATTTTTGTATATTACAATTTTTATGGATTTTTTTTAATGGCTTTTAGATTATAACTATCTATTATAGTTTTCGAGTAAATCAATGAAATGTGAAAACACTGTTTTTCGAACGTTATAATTTCTATTTTTCAACTTTGAACGCGTATTACAGCAATATGCATAGGAGCACAGAAATGTATTTATACTTGCTGGATTCCCCAAACATTCAGCTTTCATATGCATCTTTTGGATTCAATCTATGTATTACAGTTTTCGAGAAAATCAATGAAATGTAAAAACACTGCTCTTTCGAGCATTTTTTAAAATTTGAACACGAATTACAGCCAAACGGCTAAAACCACAGTAATATATCGATACTTGCTACATGCTCCAAACATTCAGCTTTCATATGTATCTATTGGATTCAATCTATCTATTATAGTTTTCGAGAAAATTAATGAAATGTAAAAACACTGCTTTTCCGAGCATTTTTTAAATTTTGAACAAGAATTACAGTAAACATCTGATTTAAGTAAACATTACATAATTGAAGGAAAACTGGAAAAAAAGAAAAAACGAAGCATTTTTTTTTTGTCTAATTGAAGATTACATGCAGGAAATTTTTAATTCAACTCTAAAGCTAATTACTAAATTATATAAGAACTGATCAATTCAATTCAGTCTAAAAATAATGGGTATTGGGAATATGGAAAACAATGATTGAAAAAGCAGAAATTTATGTTTATTTGTTGTCTTCTAATTAATGTTTGTAAAATACGTAAACACATTTGAAAATAATTAATTTTTGTATATTACAATTTTTATGGAATTTTTTTTAATGGTTTTTAGATTATAACTTTGTATGGATTTGCAGATCTGGTAGAGTCGAGACTCAAAGAGGTTTGAAATTATAAAAATTTAGAATTTATTTTTTATAGTAATTTACAATAAATTTGCAAAATTTTATCTTAAAATGTAGATAGTAATTAGAATTTGATGATACAATTATATAATTAAATCGTATGCTTCTATTTGTAATAAATTGTTGTGTAAAAATTCCATTGTTTCAGATGATGAATACGTAATTTTTATTACATCATGTACACGAAGTTTTATTTGCTTCATTAACTACGATCCAAGTAATTTCAATGGCATCACTGAATTTTATTGCATTCATTTCCAATTTTACTCATAACATTCAATTTAATTTAACTTTTCATGTTTACATGTTTTCACGTAATATGTTTTCATGATCAATTCAAATCAGTCCTAAAAGAAAACAACAATTAATGTTTTGTAATTGTATTAGCAATAGTTTTATTATGGAAAACAATAATTGAAAAAGCAGAAATTTATGTTTTTTTTTGTTGTTTTCTAATTAATGTTTGTAAAATACGTAAACACATTTGACTATAATTAATTTTTGTATATTACAATTTTTATGGAATTATTTTAATGGCTTTTAGATAATAACTTTGTATGGATTTGCAGATCTGGTAGAGTCGAGACTCAAAGAGGTTTGAAATTATGAAAATTTAAAATTTATTTTTAATAGTAACTAAATTTGTTCTTAAAATGTAGATAGTAATTAGAATTTGTTGATACAATTAAATAATTAAATCGTATGCTTCGATTTTTAATAAATTGTTGTGTAAAAATTCCATTGTTTCAGACCTAGAAAAATCGAGTTTCCCAATAGATCTGAGGTTTCCATAACGATGATGCCGCTCACAAATTTAACTCATATCTCTCCGAGCACGAAACTGGTCGCAGTTCACGTGAAGCACGCGCCAGAACCGAATTGGAGGTTTCTCGAGTTCTTCAGATGTTTGGGGTCGAAGAGGCAGGAACCTGCGAGTCCCGAGTTCAGAGTTAGAACCAAAGAAACGAGACTTTCCGCCGACTCATTCGACATCAGCAACAGCAGCTTGAAAGAGGTGGAGGCGGCCTTGCTGAAAGACGAACTCACCACTTACATGAACAAACCTAGTTCAATTAACTAAAGTGAACTTTATACAAATACTGTGTACATATATATATATATAGACCTATAAACCTTAATGAATAATTAGTGAAAGTGATGAGAGCACGAATGTTTGATGAAAGAGATATATTTTGTCTGTCAATAAATTTTGAATTACAATTCCCGCAATCCCTTAGGCAGTCTCATTTCCATTCTCACTCGCACTTGACACAATTTGCCAACGGAAGACACCTCGTTACATCTGATTCCATAAAAATGATCAAACGATATTTTATGTTAAAAAAAAATATAGAAAATGTCAACATACAAAGTCACGATGTGCATGATTCCACGTGATTCTCATCGTTATTAAAAACAATCAGAATATGATTTTGTTTTCAATATGAGCAATTTACATCGATGAATTTTAATAAATTGAAGTTGCACATATTAATTTCATTCAATTGATTTTGCAGTTTATATAATTCGTCTGGTGAAACACGCGTTGCTGCATATTGGAGCAGTAAAAATCACCTTTACTATAGTTTAATGAAACTTGCTGTTGTGTGTCGCAGATGGCCTCCGGTCGTAAACATGGATTTTCATTCATGTATCTATTTTTGTAGTCTAAGTATACAGAAATAAAACTTACAGAGCGAATCGCTGCGAGTAGGCGAATAAAATATTTACGACTCTCTGTGTAATTTAAGCCGAATTTGCATTAATCGTTATTAATGATGAGGTAAATAGTTAATTTGTCAACAATTGATTGGTACAGTCATTAATTCATACTTGTAGACAGTCTAACAAGTATGAATTAATGACTGAGTATGTATCTGAGGATCATGCATTAGATAGCAATCATTGATGAGTACCATTGGATCTTCCTAAAAGAGAAAAAAAATAGTCTCTTAGTTTTTTATAAAAATTATTGACTTTACTGTCACTACGCATCATGCAGGAGGCAACAATAGATTTATATGTGGCATTGAGTGCTGCAAATAAAAAGAAAACTTTTAATCTGTCTTGGTGATGAGAGTATGAAAATTACCTTGATTTAACAATTTAATTAAATTTTAATGGGAATTACAGCCAAACGGCTAAAACCACAATAATATATCGATATTTGCTAGATTCCCCAAACATTCAGCTTTCATATGCATATATTGGATTCATTCTATCTATTATAGATTTCGAGTAAATCAATCAAATGTAAAAACACTGCTTTTTCGAGCATTTTTTAAAGTTTGA